GCCAGGCTGCCCAGAGAGGCTGTGGAGTCTCCTTCTCTGGAGACATTCCAACCCCCCTGGCCATGTTCCTGTGTGATGTGCTCTGGGTGCCCCTGCTCTGGCAGGGGGGCTGGGCTGGGGGAGCTTTCCAGGTCCCTTCCAACCCCTGGGATTCTGTGAGTCTGTATAATCAAACTGTTTGCTACCTCAAGCTGCAGCCACCAACCTCTCCCACACCTGCAGCGGACCCAAAACCTCCCCATGAGTCCCTCCCCTGTTCCCAGAGCTGCTCCAGAAAACACCAAGCCAGGCTCAGGGTGCTGTGCCAGCAGCCTGCCCAGGTCAAAGTCCTGAGCAGCACCCGGGAGCAGAGTTCACAGACACTCGATTATCGCACCATCACGGAGCTCCCTGCACTGCCCACCAGCCCCAAACCAGCCTGTGCCAGCACCACGGAACAAGCCCAGGCTTCATTCATATTCATTTCCCAGTGACTCTCCAGCAAGCAATGAAATCTTCCTTTCCACAGCAGGTCATTAAGCCAGGGGAAATGAGTGACCTCTTCAGACCCCTGCGTCACAGGTGTCACCAGGAGCTGAAGGGACACAGGCAGAGCCATGACCTCACACTCCTCTTAATAAATAACAGTTCTAAACCAGCGTGGCCTTGTCACACCCAGCAGGACCCACATGAGAGCCAAGAACTGAGGGCTGGGCAGGGCAGGCCTGCCCTGGAGGGGCCAGGCAGCCAGGATGCTGCTGTGCTGCAAGGAAGTCAGGTCCCACCAGCACATCAGGACTGTCGTTCTGAAATAAATCACCTTGTTTCAGGCACCATCAGCTCGGTGAGAACACTCTCAGCCTCTGGAGCTCAGACACACCTCCCTCTACAAACTGGTAGGAGCATCCCAGGGCTTCCTGGAAACATCCCAGGGCTTCCTAGAAGCATCCCAGCTCAGGGTTTTAGCAGAGAGCTCCCCCAGGCAGCAGCTACCACACTCCACAGGGCAGATCTCAGATTACAGGCCCTAATTGCTGCCATCAATCAGAGTAACAATTAGCATCAGGTGAATGCATTCCCAGTGCTCTCAGGAGAGGACGGGGAGGGAAAAAGAGAACCTGAGTCCCAGTTTCCCTCAAGTTCACTGGGAGGCCACCAGAAAGCAACTCCCAGGAAAACTTCCCAGGCACCCAATTTCCCCAGGAAACCTCAAACACAGAAAGCAGCCCCAAAAAAGAATGAACTCCCCCAGCCCTCACAGCCCAAGCAGACAGGTGCCACATTTGCACACCAAGAAGTTAAGGGAAGATCACATCTCACCCAAACCAAGCCATCAGCATCACCCACAGCCTCTCCTTCTCTGTAGCCCCTCCAGTGGAGCCTGACACCCCCCAGGCGTGTGCCAGACAAGGCAGACTTCAGCCTCTTAACACTCTCATGGCTCTTGGTCTCCATACCCCAGGGTACCAGCACCAGAGGGTACAACAGGCCACACGCAGCCTCCTGCATCCCCCCACGCACAGCTGTACATCCCTGTGGGGATCTGCAGGATGCCACTCGTGAAAAAAAACCTACCACCTGACTTTTTACATCCCCAAAGAGGGGTCAAGAGTAGAGACAGAAACTAAAGGTCTGGGGAACCAGCCCAAACCCACAAGATTGCTTAAACTATTTGCCAGCTCTGCAAATTTCTACAAGCAAGTCCTCTTATTTTCCTAAAAAAATAAACAGACCTAGACCATGTTGTGTCTCAGACCAGCAAGACATGTGAGGCCTCTGGTGAGAGCTTTGTGGGGTGCCCAGCCCATTTCAACCAAGCCAAAGAACTGGAAAAGAGCAAAAAGCTCCTACAAAGCCAGGGAAGCAACACAGTGACCCCACAAAGCACTGCCACCCAAAGTGCCCTGCAGCTGGGACAGAGGAATGGAAAGGTGTAGGGGTGCACAGCTACACCACTAGAGGCTGAAGCATCCCTGGCCCAGGAGCCTCATCCAAAGAGAAACCCACTGGGTTGGTGTGCTGGGATCAGCCAGATTCACCCAGCACAGGCTCAGTCAGCCCAGGGCAGCCCTGTGAGCCAAACCTGGAGACACCCAGCCCTGGAAGAAGGGATTAACCAAACCTGGTTAATCCTGCTGGGTGCTTGGAGCACTTGTTTGTGCTGCCAGAACGTCCAACAGCCCCAACACTAAGGAGGGTTGTGTTTCTGGGGGTGCTTTAAAGCCACCCACACTGGCCATAAATCCTCCCTGCTGTTGCTCTCACCCAGCTCTCCAGCCTTGTCCTTGGAGGGCAGCAGTGAGGAGGGATAAGGATCCCCCCAGGTGCTCCTCTGCAGGGCTGTGCAGCCCCAGGACCCCCCAGCAGCCCTGAGCCCTGCCCAGGGTGCCCTCTCCAAGGCTTACCCACCACCCTGGAGCTCACAGCACGTGGGGTGGAGTGTCCCATCATGAGTGGCTCCCAGACCCACAGCCTGCAGGTTTCAGCCCCACAGCTTCTCACGAGTGGGTCCCAGACTCACAGCCTGCAGGTTTCAGCCCCACAGCTTCTCACAAGTGAGTCCCAGACCCACAGTGTACCCTATCACGAGTGGGTCCCAAACCCACAGCCTGCAGGTTTCACCCCACAGCTTCTCACAGGTGGGTCCCAGCCCCACAGCCTGCAGATTTCACCCCACAGCTTCTCACAGGTGAGTCTCAGACCCACAGCTTGCAGGTTTCTGCCCCACAGCTTCTCATGAGTGGGTCCCAGACCCACAGCCTGCAGGTTTCAGCCCCACAGCTTCTCACAGGTGAGTCTCAGACCCACAGCTTGCAGGTTTCTGCCCCACAGCTTCTCATGAGTGGGTCCCAGCCCCACAGCCTGCAGATTTCACCCCACAGCTTCTCACAGGTGAGTCTCAGACCCACAGCTTGCAGGTTTCTGCCCCACAGCTTCTCATGAGTGGGTCCCAGCCCCACAGCCTGCAGATTTCACCCCACAGCTTCTCACAGGTGAGTCTCAGACCCACAGCTTGCAGGTTTCTGCCCCACAGCTTCTCATGAGTGGGTCCCAGACCCACAGCCTGCAGGTTTCAGCCCCACAGCTTCTCACAGGTGAGTCTCAGACCCACAGCTTGCAGGTTTCTGCCCCACAGCTTCTCATGAGTGGGTCCCAGACCCACAGCCTGCAGGTTTCAGCCCCACAGCTTCTCACAGGTGAGTCTCAGACCCACAGCTTGCAGGTTTCTGCCCCACAGCTTCTCATGAGTGGGTCCCAGACCCACAGCCTGCAGGTTTCAGCCCCACAGCTTCTCACAGGTGAGTCTCAGACCCACAGCTTGCAGGTTTCTGCCCCACAGCTTCTCATGAGTGGGTCCCAGACCCACAGCCTGCAGGTTTCAGCCCCACAGCTTCTCACAGGTGAGTCTCAGACCCACAGCTTGCAGGTTTCTGCCCCACAGCTTCTCATGAGTGGGTCCCAGACCCACAGCCTGCAGGTTTCAGCCCCACAGCTTCTCACAGGTGAGTCTCAGACCCACAGCTTGCAGGTTTCTGCCCCACAGCTTCTCATGAGTGGGTCCCAGACCCACAGCCTGCAGGTTTCAGCCCCACAGCTTCTCACAGGTGAGTCTCAGACCCACAGCTTGCAGGTTTCTGCCCCACAGCTTCTCATGAGTGGGTCCCAGACCCACAGCCTGCAGGTTTCAGCCCCACAGCTTCTCACAGGTGAGTCTCAGACCCACAGCTTGCAGGTTTCTGCCCCACAGCTTCTCATGAGTGGGTCCCAGACCCACAGCCTGCAGGTTTCAGCCCCACAGCTTCTCACAGGTGAGTCTCAGACCCACAGCTTGCAGGTTTCTGCCCCACAGCTTCTCATGAGTGGGTCCCAGACCCACAGCCTGCAGGTTTCAGCCCCACAGCTTCTCACAGGTGAGTCTCAGACCCACAGCTTGCAGGTTTCTGCCCCACAGCTTCTCATGAGTGGGTCCCAGACCCACAGCCTGCAGGTTTCAGCCCCACAGCTTCTCACAGGTGAGTCTCAGACCCACAGCTTGCAGGTTTCTGCCCCACAGCTTCTCATGAGTGGGTCCCAGACCCACAGCCTGCAGGTTTCAGCCCCACAGCTTCTCACAGGTGAGTCTCCATGGAACCTCCTGTGCTCCAGTTTGCACCCACTGCCCCTTGTCCTGTCACTGGACATCACTGCACAAAGCCTGGCTCTGTCCTCCTGACACTGCCCTGAACAGATCTGTAACCAGGGATGAGGTGGCCCCTCAGTCTCCTCTTCTCCAAGCCCAACAGACCCAGCTCCCTCAGCCTTTCCTCATAAGGGAGATGTTCCCCTCCCTCCAGCACCTCTGTGCCTCTGCCCTGGGCTCTCTCCAGCAGTTCCCTGTCCTTCTGGAACTGAGGGGCCCAGAACTGGGCACAACATTCCAGATGTGGCCTCACCAGGGCAGAATATTCATCCATAAGGGCCAGAGATCATTGAGCCCCATAGCTGAGGTGGGCACAGCCCTGCAACCCGAGTGTAGGGGGGCTCCAGGAAAGCTGGGGAGGGGCTTTTCATCAGAGAAGACAGTGATAGGACAAGGGGTGATGGTTTTAAACTGAGAGAGGGGAGATTTAGGTTAGATATTGGGAAGAAATTCTTCCCTCTAAGGGAGGTGAGAGACTGGGATGGGTTGCCCAGGGAGGAGTTGATGCCCCATCCCTGGAGGTTTTTCAGGCCAGGTTGGATGAGGTTTTGTGCAACCTGATCTAGTGGTTCCCTGCTCATGGCAGGGGGGTTGGAGCTTGATGATCTTTGGGGTCCCTTCCAACCTTAATGATTCCATGATAATTCAAACTACTCTCCCCCAAACAACCTTTTTCTCCCACATCTTCCATTTAAATGACTTTAAGGACCACCTCCTAAAACCCAAGCATCCTCCAGGGCCACTGCTCCAGCCTCTGCCACACACCCCCCCATAAAATAATCACAACCACCGTTTGTTTTTTTGTTAAAACCTTTCCACTGTTATTTCTGCCCCCCCTTGCTCACAGAGGGTTGGGGTAGCGACGCTGGGAGAGCAGCCTGGGTTGGCTGGGTCGAGAGGCAGCAGCGAGCTAGGGAGCAAGAGAGAGAGGTGGTGCAGGTCAGGTCTGAGGAAGAAACTAGTCCCTGTGAAGATGGTGAGACCCTGGAACAGGTTGCCCAGAGAAGCTGTGGCTGCCCCATCCCTGGCAGTGTTGAAGGGCAGGTTGGATGGGGCTTGGAGCAGCCTGGGCTGGTGGGAGGGGTCCCTGCCCATGGGGTTGGGACTGGATGATCTTTCAGGTCCTTTCCAACCCAAACCAGGCTGTGATGCTGTGATGGTAAGGGAAGGTTGCACCTCAGAATGGTGCACAGGATACATCCACAAGCATCTTGCTCTCCATCCCCCTGTCACTGTCCTCCCCCAGTTTATTTTCTTCATAGACACCAAAGGCTCACACCCAGCTCCCTGCCTGCCCACTGCAGGTTGCAGGCAGTCTGACATCACCCCAAAAAACCAGAAGCCACCCTCAGCCCTATCCCACAATAAATACAAGAGGATGGGCTCTCACCTGGGACACCTGGGTAGGGTTGAAGAGGGGGATTGTTCTCACTGGTGGGAGAGGTTGATAGGAGTTGACCTGGAAAGGGTGAAGGAAGAAAAAACTTAATAGCAACCCCTGGATTTCAGACACACACCCCTCCCTTCACACAAAAGTGCACTGCTCACCTGCTCTCCTCCTGGCTCCCCACCACCTGTACCCCACGAGCCTTTCACCTCAGCAGACACTGGAATAACAGAAAAGGAATTTTCACCTTGCATTCCTCCTGGGGCACACAGCCAAAAAAAACCAAACCAGCCTTAAAACTAAGAGGAGGAGCTTCTTAAAAGGCTGCCAGGGAGAGAGGGGTGAGGGGAACCCGTGCAGCACTTACTGGGGTTTCTGAATGGAGGCAGCACAGAAGAGCCTGTCCCAGCAGCCAGAGGAGCACTGAGTGAGGATGGAGGTGTCTGTTCCTGAAACCACATCCACCCATTTAGAGCAGAAGGTGCTTTCGTGGGGAAATCCCACACTTTTGGGGTACTGCTCTGCACCCATCCTGCTGCAGAGGTACCCCAAGAGCTACAGGCACCCAACCTACAGGGGAGCTACAGTGCAAGGAACCCCTGTCACAAAGCTAAACCACCTGGAGGCCTCAAAATGAGGCAAGATTCTGGACACCAGGCCTGTGTACAGCGTAAGGACCCCCCCTCTGATCCTCATCTCCTGCTAAGCTTTGAAAGAACACCCAAAACCTTCCCAGCTCCAGGACTGCAAGTCGGAACCAGGACGTCACTTCCACGAAGGCTCCTGCTTCAAAAGCTGCCTGCAAGCCCAGCACCAGCCTGCAGTGGAGCATCTAACACCCTGAGGACTTAGCCAGGACTAGGATAACTCCACATGGCTGCTCCCCTGCCTCTCCTGTGCTTCCAACTCAAGAGGTTTTCCATCCCTGCAGCTCCTCAGAGCTGTGCTGCTCAGAGCTGCTGCTTTCTGCTCTGGCAGAGGCAGGTGATCCCCACGGAGCCTGCTGAGTGCTCAGAGCACTTCCCAGATCATGGAGGGTTTTATCCATGTACAATGATGATGAATCAAGGATTCACTTCTAGGCTAAAAGGGCTCCCCATCCCACTCTGTCCCCACACAGACTATGGCCGTGAAGAGCTGTGCCATGGCACGGCCCAGCCACCTGCATGGAGACACAGGGAGAAACGTCCCCACACAGACTATGGCCGTGAAGAGCTGGGCCATGCCATGTGTGAAGAGCTGGGCCATGTGTGAAGAGCTGGGCCATGTGTCTCCACCTGCGTGGAGACACAAGGACAAATAGTGGGTGAAAGGACACGTGTCACCTTGTCCCCACGGCTGTAACCCTGGGTGTCACTTAGGGATGGGACAAGCCTTTCAAGCCCTACCTGTGATTCTGGTGTGGGGGAGTCAGAGGCTGCCTCAGCCGTGGCTGTAGAAGATGTCTCCTTGGTGGGCTTCGAGCGAAACCAGCCAAACCACCTGAATCCAGAGCTCTGGGAAATGAAGGTGGTCACAGTCGACAGCAATGGGTGAGAAAGTGAGGATGCCACGGCCACCCTGCTCCAGCTGGGAGCAGGCAGCTGTTTCACCCAGGTGAGGGCAGGCAAAGTGGGACAGGCCAGCTCAGAGCACGAGGCTTCACCTCGGCTCTGGCATCGCTCACCTTATCTTCACCTGGCTTCACAGCCTCTGCTGGTGCTGGCTTTTCATCAGCATCTTCAGCTGCACCCTCCAAGGAAGGCCTGCTGTCATCTTCCAAGGAGACAGTGGAACATTCCGAGATGCTCCGAGCCCTTGCCTTGAACTCATCCTGGCACTGGAGAGCAGAGCTGCAGCTTGGTGTTCTCAGAGCAGCCCCCCACCCCGAGCACCCCTGGAACCACTCTCCATGCCAGGCTTCATGGACAGCATCCCCAGGGACCTTCTGTGTCCCTTACAGAGCAGGAGAGGAGGGACAGCACCCACAGCAGGGTGCAGGGCTACCCTAACTTGCCAGGTCCCCAAGAGGATGGCTGGCACCACAATGGGGGTTTCCATATGAGTTAAATGATGAAGGATGAGCCAGCAAGTCCCAAATTCCCCAGTGGGATGTCTCCCTGACCCCTCTGACTCACCTGTCCTGCTGGGAGGGATGGCTGCATCTCCCTGAGGGACAGCAGGGTGCCCTGGGGCTCCCCAGCTTCTCCTGTGGAGAAGAAGAAAGGGCACAGGGTTTGACCTGAGGAGCTCCTGCCACATCTATCAGAGCTATTTTCAGTGCTTCTATCATCCCACCCCAAAGCAAAGTCTGTGTGGCCAAGATGTACCCTCAGGAGGTGTAAAAGTCCCTTCTGGACCCTGTCCCTGCCAGCACTAGGGAGGGAGGAAGCCACCAGCCTGTGCCAGGGCATCTCAGGAACCTGCTTTGTGCTGCTGAATAATGGAGCTGGTTTACCCATTAGGCAGGGAAGCAGCTCAGCTGCTTTGGACAAGGTCCAAAAAAAAAAAAATGCAGGCCTGGCTGCTTGCCCAGGGCAGCCAGCACTGATGGACACAACCTGCATGGGTGGCACTGGGGCAAGCCTGGGTCCAGGTCTGGGCAAAGGTGGGATGGAAACAAGGCACCTGGTTAAGGCAGTCCTGGCACCTCAAATCCTGGGGTCAGTTTTGGGCCCCTCAAGACAAGAAGGACACTGAAGGGCTGAAGCTTATCCAGAGATGGGCACCTGAGCTGGGGAGGGGTCTGTAGAACAAGTCTGGTGAGAAGCAGCTGAAGGAACTGGGGGTGTTTAGCCTGGAGAAAAGGAGGCTGAGGGGAGACCTTCTCACTCTCTGTAACTCCCTGAAAGGAGGCTGGAGAGAGGGTGGGATCAGTCTCTTCTCCCAAGTAATGAGAGATAGGACAAGAGGAAACAGCCTCAAGTTGTGCCAGGGGAGGTTTACATTGGCTATCAGGAGAAATTTATTCTCCTAAAGGGCTGTCAGGCCCTGGCCCAGGCTGCCCAGAGCAGTGGGGGAGTCCCCATCCCTGGAGGGATTTCAAAGCCCTGTAGATGTGGTGCTGAGGGACATGGGTTAGTGGTGGCCTTGGCAGGGCTGGGTTAAGGGTTGGACTTGATGATCTTAAAAGACTTTTCCAGCCAAAACGATTCTGTGGTTCCACTGCCTAGGGCCAGGCATCTTTCAGAGAAACGAGGCTGGAGCACTTACCTGCTGGTGACACCACCTGTGGAGGGGGCTCAACAAAAACCCCTCCAGGAGGGGCAGCCCTCCCTGGGGGCTGGAGCTCCTGCCCAGCACTGAGCTGGGGTGATGCTGGGAGCTGAGCAGGTGCTGGGGGCCGAAGAGAGGCATCCTCCTGGGAGCTGGGTACCCTGAGTGGCAGAGGCTCATACCACTGGTCATACTGGTAGCCTTCATCACCCTGTGAAAGCTCCTGGCCAGACTCTCCATCTGCAAATGAAAGCAAAAAAAAATAAATATATAAATCTCCACCTGAGGAGTTGGCTTTGGTGCTTTTAACTTCATTAGGCTGTTGCACAGAGTTCTCCCCTTTTCCATTATACATCAGTGGAGTCAGGGAGGTGAGGAGGGGCCCTGGGGAGCAAGGAGGGACCCCAGGGACCAGCCGTGGGCAAGGGAGGAGGCAGGGCACTGCACCAGGGAGAACCTTTCAGAAGCTTCAAGGAAGGTGGGTTGTGAAAGACAGAAGGAACCTCCTCTGGGAACATGCCTGAGGTTGCAAATGGACTCAGAAGCAAATGAACTATGGAAGCAGAGAGCCCAGGCACCAGCAGCACGTGCCCAGCAGTTCAAAGGAGCCTCCAGGCTTTTATTCCACTCCTGCTGCACACACCTCAGGCAGGAAAGAAAATTCACCAGGAAGCTGCAGCCTTCCTTCCTGCTCCACAGGAGCCCCTGTGGGTGAGTTCCTTGCTTCAGGCAGGCTTCTTCAGGCCTGCTGGTTTTGTCTGCAGGGCAGGTTGAGCAAGTGGGGTTTGTTTTGTTTAAAGACAGACACATGTTGCTGTGTCTGGTGTTGGGCAGGGTCTGGGCAGCACTGTGGCCCCAGATGCATGGTTTGCTTCTTCCAGCTCTGCAGCCTCCAGCCAGAAAAGTGCTGGGCACTGGGAAGTTTCCCTCCCATTGCCCTGTGGGCAGGACCCACACTCTGTGGGGCTGAGCCTGGGGTACAGATGATGGCACTTCTTGGATGCAGAGCTACAAGACCTTTTGCTTTGCCTGCTGGCATTGCCTCCAGCCCACTTGGGCTTGGCCTCTCATCCAGGAGCTGCTCAAGAGCCAAAGAGAGGAGGATGGATGCTCAGCTCCACCCTGAGCTGAGACAGAAAAAGACAGAGAAGTTCAGGCTGTAAGGATGGAGAGGGAGGTTATTGTGACTGTGTGGATCTCAGCTTGACACCTTGATTCAAGCTTTGTCTTTCCCAATGGAGGAATTCAGCACCAAAACATCTTTGTCTCCATGCAGGTCCCTGAGCCTGTGACTCTGGATGACCTTCTCAATGAAGAAGTGCCAAGCACTGGGGAAGCAAGATGCCAAGACCACAGGGAGCAGATCTGGCCACTCAGAGAAGCCACCCAATTGTAACTGCAACTTTTTTTCCAGGGAAGGATGATGATAACCCCAGCCCTGAGAGCAGCAGAAGTCAATTCAGGATTGATGACCCTTTTTACTGCTTGGGAGAGCTCTTTGAAGGGAGATTTGGCAGCAGCAGGAAAACCTGAGAGGAAGAAATGCCTTGGAAGAAGTTGGTCGTGTTTTATCCTGTCTGCACCAGCCTTGATTCTCCACCCATCAGTGCTGGAATTCCCAGCAGAAAGGTAGACCTGAGGAGAAGCAGGTGTGCCAAGGCATCCTGCTGGTGGAGGGGGCTGTGCAGCAATGCCAATGGGTCACCAGCCCCTGGCTTCTCTTTGATGGGACATTCCAATAGACACACTGCCCAAGCTCTTCAGCCCTTCCCTTGACAAGCCACCCAGAGGAGGATCAAGTCCTTCATCTGGATGGCTCGTGACTCTCTGGGTGAACTGTCATGGGAGGGGGAAAAGCAAAGGAATGAAAGAGACCTTTGGGAAGGGGCAATGCTAGGGCTTCACCAGGGGGCAATGCTGCAGCCTGGCACACAGAGGGATGAGCTCCTCCCAGGACCTTTTGCCCTGCAAGTGTGAACTCCCCTGAGTTCAGCTCCAGTTTGCATCCTTGTAGGAGCACCTGGGAACGGGGCCATCTCCCCTGAGCCTCAGCCAGGAGGGCACCTGCTGCACCAAGAGACCTTTGGGAAGGGGCAATGCTAGGGCTTCACCAGGGGGCAATGCTGCAGCCTGGCACACAGAGGGATGAGCTCCTCCCAGGATCTTTTGCCCTGCAAGTGTGAACTCCCCTGAGTTCAGCTCCAGTTTGCATCCTTGTAGGAGCACCTGGGAACGGGGCCATCTCCCCTGAGCCTCAGCCAGGAGGGCACGTGCTTCACCCACCCACCCACCCCCAGCCTCCCTTCTCCTCCCCCAGCACCCACAGGAACCCCTGAAGCAGCAATGATTAGGCCAAATCCCTCAGACTCTGTGTGGAGGGCACAAAGCATCGAGCCCTTGGCTCACAGTCCATCCCTGGCAGCCCCAGGCTGGGATGCATCCAGGCAGGAGCCAAAGGTTGGAGCTCTGAGGGGGTGTGAGGAGCAAGGAGCAGCTGCTGAGAAGTGTTGCAGGGGAGCAGGGAGCTGTGGCCATTGCAACCTGCTGCCTCCAATTTCTTTACCTGCAGTGGATGCAGCAGCACAGGAGAGCTCTAACTGAGCAGGTGCCACCTCCAGAGGGAGGTCATCTCCCACCTGCAAGGCAGCAGAGGGAAGCAGTGAGAAAACAGCCAGGAAAAGGGATGGCACAGGGCAAAGGCTAATGGCAGCACAAAGGAGATGTAAAGGGAAGTGTGGTGCTGGTGGGTCTTGGGGCTTATGACTTCCCCCCCCTCCCAAGGCTAAAGGAGCCCAGGTTACAGGTGAGACCCTTACCAAGGTGGTCACAGCAAGTGGGGGAGGCTGAGAATGAAGGAGAGCTGGAGACAGAAAAGGTCACAAAACCAAAAGCAGACATGCAACCTGAACAAACAGCACCATCCAAGGACCTGACCACAGCTCAGGGACCCCAGAGGACAGACCTGCAGAGTGATGGGCCTACCAGTGTCCTCTGCAATATCCTGACTGCAAGAGGAGGTCTTCATCCACCCACCAGCCCCTGGCTGCCCTTCTTGAGCCAAGACAAGGAGCATTTTGCCCTGTGGGTAGCTCTGCAGCCCTCACTGCTCACACCCTTGGGTACTGCAACCCCTCCTCATCCCACTGAAGCTGCAGGTCCCGTGGCTGAGACCACATCTCAGAGCTCACAAGCCAAAGGGAAAGGCACCTGGATAAAAACAGCCTTCTGACCTCCACACCCATCATCCCCTCAGGTCAGGGCAGAGGAGGAGGACGCTCCTGGAGACAAAACACCCCAGAATCCCTGGCTCCTCCTTACCTCCCACTCCTGGCAGCAGGCTCGGAGCTGTACCAGCCATTCTGGCTCCAGTGTCTGGTCCTGCTCTGGCATCTCCAGGAGCAGTGGGTCAGAGAGCTTCAGCCTCTCAGCCAGCTGCAGAGCCAGGAGGACAACAGGACTTGTCATGCATCTCAGCTCCACAGGGAAGAGACCAACCCTCACAACAATTGCACACGGTTGGACATGCAGATCCAGGGAAAAATAGCACCAGAGCTGCCCTTCTTCATAGTATGAAGGTAGAAGCAACACCAGCCTCTTGGTGCAAGGTTTACTCCTCTCCTGCATGCCTGCAGAGAGCTGTTGTCCCATGCCATGCCCCACAAAGCCTCCCAGAAGGGTTATCTCAGCCACCTCCACAGAGATGCCAAAGCTGCTCTTCACATCAGAGAAGCAAGTCACCATTTCCATCCTTTTCTCCTCCAAGATTAAAAAAAAAAAAACAACTCCCTTTAATCCCACTTGGCAGCCTGCTTAAGGCACTGGCAGGTTTGCAGGACACCCCACCAGGAGCCCTAGAAGCAGCCCAGCTGTGCACCAGCCCCATGCCTGACCCACAGGGCAGGATGGCAGAGTTGGAGCTAAGGGCTCACTCAGCTTTGCAACAAGCATTCCCATCACTAACAACCACTCAGAAAACAAAGCCAGGGCTGGGAGGGACCCTCTGAGGCTACCTGATCCATCTGCTGACACCCAAGACAACCCTGTGTGCCCACACCAGCCTGCTTGTCTGATTTGCTCTTACAAATCTCCAAACAGATTTCACAGCCTCCCAGGACTGTCCTGATGCTTCATGTCCTTAGAACTAGCTTTTTTTTCTTAATATCTAAGTGAAAACTTCCCTGCTGCAAGTTAAGCCTCTTGATTCCTGGTCCCATGGAAGCTGGGGGTCCAGGTAAGCACCAGCCCCTGAAAAGCAGCCTCCTGAATGCCAGGGAATGTCAGCACATCCCCCATACCTCCCCTAGTATATTTAGCCTGGAAAAAAACCTTCTTTGGAGGTAATTTTCCCCTCAGGCTCTTATCACTCCTGCTCTTCTCTTCTGCACTTGCTGCAATTTGACCCTGTCCCTGAGCACAGCATCCCAAGCAGGGCACAGTGCCCCAGCCAAGATCCCTGAGACCTAAGCACAGGGGAATTAGCACCTCCTTGTCTCACACATGCTGTTCTTGCTCTCACAGCCCAGAATAACACGGTAACATTGGAATTGGTTTTGTTGGTTTGGTTTTTATTGTTGTTGTTGTTTCTGCAGCAGCATCCTGTTCTAGCTCTGCTTGGTATTTTTTCCATGCTCCACTATCTCCCCCAGGTCCCTCTCTGCAGTATTGCTGCTGCATGGCCCACTTCTCCTGCAAGAGAAGGGTCCACACTGCCCTGGCCACAGCCTTCTCAATCACATGGGGTCCAGCTACCATCAGCAGAGCAAGAGGCTCTTCTGGGACAACCCATCCCACCAGCCCAAGGTGCAGCACAGGGCTCCCTGCAGAGCTAAATCCCAGCCTGGAGAAACTGCTTGGACAGGGGGAGGTGGCACTCAAAGCACTACTTTTCATCCATGTCTTCACTGAATTTTTCTCTTCCTGGTATCGACCCACTTCCTGGGGATTTATCAAGCTCCCTCTTAGCTCCTTTGCACTCCTTTATCTTCTAGGCTTTGCTACCAGGCTGCTGCATCAAGGGTGACCAGCAGCCTCCCAGAGGTGACTTTGCAGCACCCTCCACAGCCACAGGGCTCTCAGCTGCCTCCCTTCAGCACCAACCTCATCAGCCACTTCCTGTTGCTCAAGTTTTTCAAAACCAAGCCTAAACCAGCACCAAACCCACTTCCCAGCAGGTTACAGAGACACAACCCCTGTGGCTGGAGCCCAGCTCAGGACACAGGACAACCATGAAGAAGAACAGAGCAACCCAGCACCCAGCCAGGAGTCTATAAGACCCACCAGTCCCCATCTTCTTGCAAGCACACGTGTGTTCATCCCAAATCAATTGCAGGAAAGAGGAAATTAGAAGCATGATTACTCCTAAACGGGGGGAATGTTTAATCCAAAAGCTAATGTGCACTTTGATCCAGTATTAATGAACCAGCACCTGGTTGTGTGTCGTCCCCAGCTTCAAAAGAGGGGAAGTCTTAATCAAACACTAATGTGTATCATAATTTGTAACACAGGCTGAAACATCAAAGATAAGAGGGTCCACGAATGCACTGGTTTTTCAGATGAAAGTGTTTTCTCCCAGGAGGAGCATTATTCCCAGCAGAACAGCAGATCTGAGAGGCTGTTAGACAGTAAATAGGTTTCAGCACTGGGGTGGGAGGGAGGCTGTTTCAGCCCAGTTTGGGGTGATTGCTAAATCACCTGCCTCAGCCAGGCATCCCTGCTGCCCCTCATCTCCCAGCACTGCAGAGCTTTTGCCCAATTCCCCATGGAGAAAGCCTTGGCACTGTCCCAGAGACACATGTGGAGCAGGCAGGCCTCCCCCAGAGGGAACCTGGGACAATTTCTTCCCTCCCTGCCCCAGCAACCCAATCACAAAGCAGAGGAGCTAAGCTCAGTGCTAGGAGCTGGGACATGCTCCTGCTGGTGCCAAAAAAGCCCCTGGCAGACAGATGCAATTGTGGGATCATGTGCTGGGGGAGGAATGTCAAGCACTCACACTTCAGCCCCTTCAATCTGTGCCAGTGCAAAGTTAACAAAGCCCCTCCCAAGCTGAAAACATCCTTTGCTTCCAAGTAACTCTGGTCCTACTTGGCAGTCAACACAATTTCTGTGTTTTCTACTGTCAATCCATGGGTATTAGAGACCCCCCCAGAGGGGCTGGCTTTGCCCTGCTGGGGCAGCAAAACCATGGAGGGGCTGCTCAGAGCTGCCAGGGGAAACCCCAAGGATACTTCCCACCGGCCCAGGTCCTGAATGGGTACCCACCTGCCAAGGATGCAGAGGATGGGGACAAAGACTCACCTTCATCACTTGCTGAGCCAGGACAGGGTGGGTGGCTGGACCCTGGCCCAGGAGGGCAGTGGCAATGTGCTCACAGTACTGCAGGGCCTGGGCTGGGAGCCCATGGTCGGCCAGGCGGGAGGCGTAGAGGAGCTTGTAGACCTCAGGGGAGGGAAGCAGAGCAGGCGTGGGTGAGCAAGGAGATGCTCGTGCCCATGGGTCACCACCTCATCCCTCAGAGGTCACCTGCAGCTCAGGGGACACCCCCCACCCATCCCCACGGGGCAGTCCAGCCGTGCTCCCCACACTGTGGTGCTGTCATGAGGTCGAACTGACTTCACTCATCCCACTTGGGCAGCAGCATCCAGGTGCTTATTTGCAAAAGGGAAAGTCTGTCCATTACCCAGAGACCAGGAAGGCAACCAGACCTGAGCAAACACCAAACACCATGCCCCAAAACCTGCCCAAAGCCCTGCCCCAGAGGAGTTCCTTCAGCCAGGGCATCGCTCCTGAAGCCCAGGGAGAGGACAAGCTTTGGAGGCCAGTCTGAATCCCTGGCTTCAAGGGGAGGGACAGATGTTTTGGGGCAGGTGTGGGCTGCTTGCACACATCTGATACCTGGAAGGGGAGCAGGAAGGATTCAGGCTGTCGGAGCTGCTGGCAGTACTCAAAGATTTCCATCCTCTGGATGGCCTCTGTCCTGGCAAACTGGGCAAAGGTCTGACTGCAGAGGAGAGGGGCAGGCTCAGCAAACAAGAGGAGACCTCTCCCCCCAGCCCCAGGCAGTGGCTGGAGAAGCCCAGGGCAACAAAAACCCACCGACCAGGATTGGTTTGGCATTCAAGTCAAACCCTGGGCTTGCTCACCGGTGGCTGCTGCCCAGCAGAGCCATGCGCTCTGTCTTGGCCCCAAAGTAGCCAAAAGGAATGTCTGCCATCAGGTAGCAGAAATGAGCTGCTTCCACTGCTCCCCTGCCAGCTGGGTGGGAGGAAAAAAGGAGACACTTAGTCCCTGAGAGGTCCCTGCATGGCCAGCATGGCTTGGGAGCTCCCCAGACTCACGTGAAAACCCAAACCCAACCGCCCCACTTTTCTCCCCTCCCCATTTGGATCCTGAGCCCTCTCATCTTCCCAGTTTTTGGTGTGGTTTTTTTCCCAGCTGCTGCTTTCTGTGCTGAGGTGGGGGACTTCAGTTCAGTGGCAGGGCCAGGGGAGCCTGGGCAGGTCCCAGCTTCACCTCTGCAGGTCCCAGCTTCCCCTCTGCATCGAACCCTTGAGGGTCCCTGCCACTGGGAGCAAGTTTCAGTCTCTGCAGCCACATTCCCCCAGGTTCAATTACTCCAGGAATCTCCAAAAAAGCAGCTAATGGATGTGCCTAAGCATGGCAGCTCGAGGGGTTCAGGTGTGCACACCCTGTTTTCAGCACTGACGTGCATCCCTATCAGCATGGACATGCATGGTGACCTGCAGGTGTCCAGCCAACTGCTACAGCAGGAACAGAACTGCTCACAGTGATCTCAGCTCACCCAGAGTGTCCCCCATGGTGAGGATGGCCCGGTGGTTCAGCTCCATGTCTCCAACCTTGTTGGACAGCAGCACAGCCAGGTGGGGCCTCCAGTCTCCCCACGTGGCATCCCCACAGCACTGGAGGGAGACAAGAGGAGAGGGAAGGTGAGCAGAGATGGCAGCCACAAGGTGGACGTCACAGGCAGGTGACACAGGACAGGGATATGCCTCTTGCTTACAGACCAGAGCTGCCTGAGGGATCCTTCCTGACATGAGCTGGAAGAGGGTCTGCAGGGGGTCATTTGTGGCCAGTGTGCTGGTGAACCTGTGAGGAGACAGCAGAGACAAGGCTGCCAAGGTCCCAAACACTCAGTCACCTCCAAGGGCACAACCCAAATGCCCCAGGAAAGCTGTGTCCTGAGAGGCTTCCCAGAGAAGACAGAAGGGACAATCAGCCCACCAGAATGATCTCCATCACCTCCAGAGCAGGCAAGTCTCCAGGACAATGCTGGATAAAGCCTCCTTTAAAGGATTCAGGTTGCACAAGACAACATTTCTGCTTGACACTCCCTGAAGGGATCAACATAAATTCCACCAGAAAACATTCACACAAGTGGGATGAACAGCTCAGACCAGGCTGGATCCCAGTGAAGATGGCTCAGCTCTCCCCCACCCTAATGACTGCCCTTGGCTAAAGCCAAAAACTCAGAATAAATACACCCAGGGAATGGGTTTCCTCCTGCTGTTCAGCCCCCACTTGGTTTCTCCTGTCCCTCAAGAAGCCCAAAAGACTCAGGCCCATCTGGTTGGATGCCTCCCCCTCCCTTTTGCTCCTCTGAAAGGATCCAGACAAAATCAATGCTCTTTTTTCCATGCACTGGGACACCCAGAGGGATAACAGGCTTGGCAGAGCCAGTCAGAGCAGGGTACCTTGCTTTAGCTTCTCCACCTTACCCAGTGAGCACCCAGCTGTAAGTCCGAGGGTCCATCTTGCTGGAGAGGAAGAGGGCATGGCCCCACAGCTGGTTTCTCATGGCCCAGACCAGAGCATCCTGCAGCCAAAGTGAAGAAACAGGGTTTGCAGTAACTCTGCTTCCTTGCCCTCCTCCACTGCCTGGGCACTCACCCTGCTCAGAGAAGAGCCCAAATAACTGCTCTGGCTTTGGCAAATAGTCTCCAAAAAACTCTTCCATGTTCACAAAGGCCCCTTTTATCTTCCTGCCTTCTGGGACCCTCACAGCAATGCTGTCTTTTCTGGATTCCCAGGGCTGTGCTGCCTGTTAGCTCACCCTGCCACTGCTGTGGGACCCCAGCCTGGGCACCCCAGCTTCTCTGCATCCAGCCCTCCTCACTCCCTGTGCTGTTGGTGTCCCTTGAGATCACAGGTGCAACTAAACCCAGGGTGCTGGTAAAAGCCTCTGGCTCTTGTCTTCACTTGGGACCCCATCCCAATCCCCAAGGGTGGGAAATCACTGCTGTTTGTACAAACCCAACTCGAAATGCTGATCCCACCACCACAAGGCACCGCCTGACTCCTCTTTCCTTTGAAACCCACCCAGGGAGGCCAAAGCATCTAAGGAAAAATAAAACAAACCATCAGTCCCGTGGCCCTGCTCACCACTTACTTTCTTCCTGCCATAGTAGAGGAGCTTGGTGAACTTCTCCACTATCTGTGCCTGTGTCTCCACCACGGGAGGGACCTCCCCGGTGAGGAGGTCCAGCGTCCCCGGCTGCCGCGACACCCACTCGTCGTCCGTCAGGCCCGTCGGGTTTGTCGTGGGCTCCTGCCTCTTGTACTTCTCCCTGCCCTTGCAGTCCTGCATCAGCAGCTCCGCCGTGTCCGAGCCCACCATGGACTGGGGAAGGGGAAAGGGGAAGGGAAGAGGCAGGGCCACAGAAGCTGCTTAGATGTCTTCTCAACCTAGCACGTCTCCTCACCGGCGCACGGGTGGAAGGCAAAGGAGTCTGCACAACCAGCAAAGACCTTCCCAGCACCCTGAGGGTCTTACCCACCTGCTTCCACAGGTTAGAGTTGGTGGGTTTCATTGGATTAAGGGAATAATCCCCTTTAAAGCATAAATGCTGGCTCCTTGGTGAAGCAATGCAATGCTTTTTAAGGTACACCCTCCCCCCCAGAGCAGCAGCAGGGTCAAGGGGCATGTGAGTTGTCTTCTAAGAAAAAAACTGTCACTCCCTTCCATGGGACACCTACCCCGTTCTGCCGGCAGAGGAGGACCAGGAGTTTCCAGAGAAGAGCTGAATCTCTGCCTCTCTGTGTTGACAGATCACAGCTTGTGATCTTCTGCTGACAAAACGTCATCACGTCCCCCTTGTGCAGGTCTTCCCTACAACCACAGAGACAGGCATCACAAGAACCCCAAGACAGAGCAATCTGGGACATCATTCATACTGAAACCAGCCCCAGGCTCACTGGTGGGGATGCACAGGGAGAGATGGAGGAGAGAAGACCACCAGTGCCAACGACCACATCCCACATGGCTCACACCAAGCTCAAAAAGGCATAAATTTTATCATGAATATGCCACTCTGCAGATGTCGATGGTTCAGGGATGCAGAGTGAACCTCTAACCCTGCTCTCCTGATATTTTCCCTCCACCCATCTGCAAAGAATCTTGGCTTCACTTTGCTGTAGATGCCCAAGGCTGCTGGAGCTGTGTCTTTAACTGGCACAGTGCAGGGAGAAAGACACTGGTGACCACACCAGCCCTTTGGGTCTGAAACAGGAGCAGAAACCTTTGAGCTACATGCCAAGCCAGGCAGGGCTGCTGTCTTACACCAGAATAATCAGACAGGTGGAGAGAAGGATGGCTGAGACACAATCAGCCAGGAAAGAGGGGCTGGGGAGATGGAGATGCTGATCTTGGCTCAACCACACAAACATATCATATGGAGATTCCCAGCATCCCCCACTTTGGCACAAGTGGTAACCTCCAGGTCTTCTACCCAGATGTTTTGCTCAGTGGGTGCTTTTTTCTCCCCCTGCATGTTCCTTTTCTCTCCCAGTTTTGGTTATGAGTGACCATTAGACATGCTGGTGTAACTGGTAGGACACAGAGCCAACCTGATGCACTTCAAGCCATGATTCATCCCCTGACTCACACTGGATGAAGGTGCATCCCAGGCCTGGATCCTGCTCTCTGCTATTCTCAGTCTCAGGGGATAAACACACTAGGAAAAGCTAAATCACAGGTTGACTCAGGGCTTTAGACATCCAAAGAGATCTCCCAAAAATCAGTTTGCTGGGACATGAGTATGAAAGAAGATCAGAGAACCAAAGCAAACTAAACTCACACCCCATGAATGTTCAGAAGAACCACCTCCCACAACCAAAACCACCCATCAAAAGGGCTGGGCTCCTCATCTGGACCCAGACTTGACTTGGGCCAATATCTCAAAGCAATGAGGACCCTGAAAGTCTGCCTGGAGCTCATGTCTCCACCACCCAAAGAAGAGGTGTCAGGAGGACACAGCTCCTGGTGCTGCTGGTGCATCATACCTGGCCAGGGGCCCTGGAAAGGCCTGTAGCTCCTCCAGCTCTTTTGTGTCTTGAAGGATTATCTAAGAAACAAAAGCAAATTCAGCAGCTGGACTCCAGCAATCAGGCCACCCCCAGCTGGGCTACCTGAAAGGCAGTGCCTTGGCCAAAGGTTTAAAAGTGCTGGTGAACCCATTCTCTGGGCAGTCTTGAGGTAATAGACAGATTCTAAACCATAACATGGACCCTAGAGCTAAGGTCCAGGAAAGAAAGGCCTGTTGAGGGGGCATCTACCACCTTTGGGAGGCAAAACAAGAGACTGAAACACTGTGGTAGACTCAGGGGATGGATATTGCCTCTGGATTGGAGCACTTTGTGCAAAATTATCCTTCAGAGAGGCATGGACTGTATCTGTCCTTATCAGAGGAAATCATTTGGAGCAGGTGACACATGGCAAGGGTCACAGAGCAGCAGGAGCAGGATGTGGGGCCCAGAGACTGAAAGCACAGGCTGGCACCATGAGGACTCAAGAGCCCATGTGAGCTGGAGATTAAGAGGGCAGCAGGGGATGGGAAGGCTACTGAGGGTAGCAGGGAGCCAGTCCATGTCATACCTCCATGCTGTGTATCTCAGCTTGGGCTAGCTGGCCCTCAGCAGGGTGGTGGGGACACACCAGCACCAGCTGGCCTCCAGCTCCAAAGCAGATGGCCACGTGTGGCAGTGAAAACTTGAGGGGTACCAGCTGGGCTGGGCTGGACACCAAGGGCCCCCCTGCAACAACACACAGGCCACCATGAGTCCCCTTCACCCCCACCAGGGAGGAAGTGATCAGGTCTCAACCTGGCTGCCCCAAATTGTCACCCTGCACCGATCCCCCGTGCAAAAACTGTCCCCTCAAGCTTGTCCCCTCGTGCACAGCAGCTCCTGCAGCTCCCAGGGCAGGGCCACCAGGTTGCACGCCCACCCTTCAGCCCCCCAGCTGGGTCTATGCACCCTCACAGCCTCCTCCAGAAATGGCCCAAGATGTGAGGCAGCAAATCTGAAGCCCCTCTGAAGCACCTCAGAGGGGACCAGGACCCCCTGGCACCTCACCTGCTGGCGCTGGGCTCCAGGTGCCCAGAGGTGCAGGGTCGTAGCTGTCGGCACCATCCCTGATGTACTGGCTGAGCTCGTGGCTGCTGGAGCTGAGCCCCGAGTCCCGGTACTGCAGGAGCAGGCTGGGCTGGCCCGAGGGCTGGGGAGCAACACAAACCTGGCTGGGAAGCTAGGGACACCACTGCTCTTCTGCTCCCAGGGCACCGAGACGGGCTCTGAAGTGCCCGGTGGGAGCAGCACAGCCCAGACAATCCCCATCTGCACAGATCACACCCTTCAGTGTCTTGGGTTCATCACAACACCTTCTTCTGCCCAACTCAGTGGCTTTTAAAATTATTTACATCAGCCATTGGTCTAGACCAACAGCTTTCCTAGCCCTCATCATAGAATAGTTCAGGTTGGAAAGAACCTTGAAGATCATCCAGTCCCACCCCCCCTGCATGGGCAGGGACACCTCCCACCAGCCCAGGCTGCTCCAAGCCCCATCCAACCTGCCCTTCAACACTGCCAGGGATGGGGCAGCCACAGCTTCCCTGGGCAGCCTGGGCCAGGCTCTCACCACCCTCACAGGAAAGAATTTTTTCCTAATATCTCACCTAAATCTCCTCTCTTCCAGTCTGAGATGGTTCTGGCCCATCCCATCACTTCATGCGTTTTTTAAAAGCCCCTCCCCAGTTTTCCTGGAGCCCCTTCAGGCACTGGAAGCTGCTCTCAGGTCTCCCTGGAGCCTTCTCTTCTCCAGGCTGAACACCCCAACTCTCCCAGCCTGGCTCCAGAGCAGAGCTGCTCCAGCCCTCTGAGCATCTTTGTGGCCTCCTCTGCACTCACTCCAACAGCCTTGCTTATCTTGAGGTTACCTCTTGGGGCTGGCCCCCAGCTTCCCCCAGATCACTGCTGAGGGTTTCTTCTCCCCCTGCCCTCCTGGCAGCCAGGATATAGTTGTCCTCAGAGGAGCTGTAGGCCTGAGTCCTGCAGATGGGAGGAAAAGGAGACATCCTGAAGGTCTAGATTTTGGCACCAGCCACCAAAATGACCATGAATGGTTGCACCAGGAGATGCTCAGACTCTCCACCATTACCTGTCCTGCCCCGGGGGGCTGGCAGCCAGGTTGGGGTGGTAGCCCCTGTAGTAGTGCTGGTCCTGGTACTTGGTGCTCTTGCTGTAAGTCTCTCCCTGCCTCAGGTCTAGAGAGAAAACCAAGATGTGGTGTTGCTGCTCCTCTAGAGCCACAAGCCAACACGAAGTGGCAAAAGAAAGCAATGAGTCAGGTGACATGCCACGGACACCCCATTTGCTTCCAAAATTAGCCCAACATGCTGGAGGGATGATAAAACCCTGCACATGTTTACCAACACAGCCCTGATGCCCCTTCCTCTTTTCTCCCTCCACTTTTCAGCCCAGGAACTCAGCAAGAAGGAGGCCCCAGCCACCCTGACCAGCACCATCAGCACCAAGTTCAGCCCAGGATCAGGAATGATCCAGGGTTTCAGCCATGGACATCAAGACCAAACATTCCCTTGGGTGCCTCTAGTTCCTGCTCACGTTTCCCAAATGCAAACTGAGGACAGTGCTCCATGGGGAGAACAACACACCCAGCCCAGGAGCACAGGCAGGGGAAAGTCCTGGAGATGTGCAAGCTCTTGGAAAAGGACCCATCCTGGGAAAAAAAAAAAGCATTCACCTCTTCTCCTTCAAGCGAGCTGCCCTCATCCCCAGAGCCAAAGGATAAACCTGTACCTCTGTCACCCTGCCAGGCCACCTGCTGCCACTGGTGGCTTTGGTAGGTGTAGCCATCCCCATAAGTGCCTGCTTGGTACTGCCAGGGGGGGTCTTCATATCCTTGCCTGAAACACAACACAAGGGCACTGCTGCAGGTTCTGGATCACATCTGGGGCTCCACTCACGTGCTAGATGTGATCCTCAGAGGCAGAAGAGGTGATGGGAATAAAGCTGGGTGAGCTGCCCAGCAGCAGGGCCAGAAACTGGTCAAGCATCACACTTAGAAGGAGGAGCAGGAGGCTCGGATGCCTTCCCATCCTCATCTGTGTTTTCAGGGCTGCCCAATTCCAGCTCAATGGTGTGGACTTGACACAGGGACCAACTTCCACCCGTTTTAGGAGAGATGCCCCAAAAGCATCTTCTCTCCCCAGCTCTGGAGCTGCCGTGTCCCCTTGCACTGAATCCCAGCCCCAGACACCCACTGGCAGCTGCTCAGTGCTTTGCCCAAGCTGTGATGAGGGCAGGACCTGCGTTGCAAGCCCAAAAAGAACAGCAAAGTGATCAAACCTTCAAGGGCTTTCAAGGAGGGGGCTCGGTGCCAGGTGGCAAAGGGAGGCAGCTCTCACCTGGAGTATGGCTGGTTGGGGTACTCAGCCCAGGAAACAGGTCCATGGGTACCCCTCCAGGGCTGGTGACCCTCAGCCCAGGGCTGGCTGGGGAGGTGGCTTCCATCCCAGGAGCCTGGCCGAGCTGGGGGTGCTGCACGGAGGAGCTGCCGCCGGGGCTGGGCTGGGGGGCCCTGCTGAGTCTCTCCCCACCCCCCTGGGGCT